AGTAAAAGTGACCCATTGAGACAAGTACCACGTGGGCCTCCGTGCTAAGATAAATGGCTCTGTGGGTTAAAACCTAGGTCTCGGGACCTATGGGAAGGTCCTTGACCTGGTGGATAAGACATTTGGGCAAAACTGCTGTTTAAGTGTCATTAGCTGTCTGGTTATTTCTCTGAATCTCATACAGTGGCTTTGAGTATATTTTGGGATGATTTGGTTTGTTTTCAACCAAGTGCTATGAACCAGAAAACTGAAAAAACAAGAGCCTGTTTGCACATATAGAATTGAAAATATGAAAACTACCTTACTGTCTTGCTCATAAGTGTTGAGATATGTTAGCTATATATTTTTGAAGACTTGATTTTTTTTTTAACCTCGCAGTGAAAATGGGGACCCAGAGCACACATCAAATTTAGTTGAGTGAGGGCCCTCCCTGGTGATGCAGATGGTTAAAGCACAGCACTAAGAAGCTAAAGCCACTGCAGCAAGAGTTCGATCCCCGCCTGCCCCGGAGGAGATCCACATTGCGTGGCAGACCTCTCCTGACCCGCCCGCTGCTCCCCTCAGCAGTGAACTTTGTCCATCTGCCTGTTCTGCTCCCCACTCTGTTCGGGTGAAACCTCTCACCGCTCCTGCACCTCTGGCCTGTACCCCAGTTCTGTATGCATAAATAAATAAATCTTAAAAAAATTAACTGATTGGATTTAACTTCCCACTAGGTATACTTACTTAAATTTCTCAAATATTTTAAGATATATTTTGCAAGAGTGATCCTCCTTCAATAATACTCATTATTGTATCCCTTATGATTTATAATTACACAAAATAGTGAAGCTTCTAGCTCCCTGCAGAACAAAAATATATAGTATAGTAATTGGTTTTTTCTGTATTGAAAATGTGTTTCTAGGTTTTATAATAATGAGGTATTAATGGATGGGGTGAATATAAAAGATGAAATATTTTCCTCCAAATAAAAAGGACTTTGGACCATTTTACTTTTTTAAAGTGCAAAATACAGAAATATCTAGCTGGTCATTTTGAAAACACAGAGTAAAAAAATCATATTAAAGCAAATATTTGAATGTCATATAACATTTTCATTTAAACTTACCTTTTTTCTTTGAAAAAAAATGATTAGGGGAAATAACTAAAGATAGACTGGGACATATGTTTCAATATTGCATGTCTGTATAGATAAAAAGCAGCCATGTTAGAATCCTTTTTGAATGAATACCTTTCCCAGTTACTGGAGTTGAATTTCTTCTTCTTCTTTTTTTTTTAATTCTACCAACTTTTTATTATTATTATTATAACTGTTTATTTTTACATTTTGCACATTTTTTTTTGCCATCTCAATTGTAATCTCCGCGGGTTTCCCATCATCAAGACACCCGTGTGCCATCACCATAATCCCGTGTGAATTTATTCTTAATCCATAGTAGGTAGCAGCACAAGTCAGAATTAAAGCTAACAACAGGACAGGAGATTAGCGGACTCTGTCACTGCTGACAGCGTAAGCATTGCATTACATTTCCAGATACAGCAGGTGTTTTGTTCAAACCTATGATTCGTAAAATTCAGATCCATAAGCAGACTGACAGATTTTAGAATTAAAGTAGGTTGGATGACAAAGCTGTATCTACAACTTAGACGGAAGGAAGTGTTAAGACCACAGCCCACTGATCAAAACCCACTGGAGCCGGATCCCAGAGATGAGAAGCCACAACCAAAACATTGAAACCCACCAGATCCACAGCCCAGAGATCCAGGAGAAGTCAGCTGGCAGAGGCTGAGAGAGAGGAGTATCTGGGGGGGCTGGACCCCACGCAGGAGCTCTCGCAGCTGGACAGCCGTAGAACAAGTAGGTGTCCTGGCCGCCACTGTAGAGGGAGGTGCCCAACAGGCAGGTGCTGGGAGAGGACAGGCTAGCACTGCAAACCAGATTGTTGAGGTAGGAGGACCCACAGGAGGAGGCTGGGTAGTACAAACAGCATCCAAGGGAGTGGCAGAAATTTCCAGAGCATCAGCTGTAGGTCATGGTGACAGGAGATGTAGGTTATCTGGTCAACATTCTGTGTTTGTCACTTCTGAAATGGAGCATTTATAAACTCTTATCTTGGGTGTCTCATCCACATGGGGCATGAAACAGGTTCCTTCTGCTTGTAATTGAATCCAAAAGATCATCATAGTGGTACATATGTAGTTTTTGTAGTTTTACAACTGCACCGTGTGGTCATATTTATGTCCTGGGATTCAGATAATAATGTGGAATCTTCAAAGCTGTTAGTCAGCTTCCTCAACCAAAGGTCACCCAGTGATTACTCAGAGAACTGCATTAGAGGTAGACAGTGTCTGGGTTGAGGGAAGCTGGCTTAATTAAAAATAATTGATACCCTTTTCACAATCTGTCTCAAAGGGTTGCCATCTGGAGAGCAAAGTTGCTACTGATCTATTCAGTCATTTCTTTTAAACAAAATGCGTCGATTGTTGCGGGAAGGAGCGAGTTTACTTAAATAATGTCATTACGTCATCAAGAAGTAACAATGACAATATACCAGATATCTGCTTCAGAAATTTTTTTTTAATTCAGAATGCAACTTGAATATGTTCTGTGTTTTATTAGTGGAGACACTTAATTTCCTATGTTCCTGCTTAAAATTGTATCAGACTATTAAGAGTCAATCTTAATGACATGAGAGATTGCACTAGGATGTTAGAGGCTTCTTAGCTAAAAGATAATTTTTTTGCATCAGACGCTAAGACGTGCATTTAGAAATACTTTATAAGGAAAGCTGTGAAACTTCAAGATAGATGTCCTTATTTAAAGAACAAAGAAAAAGCCAGCGTCGACGTGATCTTTTGCTTCTTTTGGGTGCACATGCTATGAGTTCAAGTTACAAATTGCTCTATGTATAGTTGGAATATCAGAGCTTATTCATCTGACGTGGTAAGAAAGCATTGAAAATAGTAACTAAGTATGTGGCAAATACATCCAATGTATTTCTCTCCCCAGTCAAAGGCAGAGTTTAGCCCTGAAAGGATACCTCAGAACCTGGAAACTCTTTTTATTCTTAAGAAAGTTTATAAGGCAATTGCCTTGAAGTATTGAACCAAAGGAGTTATCTTAAAGATTCTTCCTCTGCTTCAGAAAGTCTCATGCATCACTTTGACGCAAACTATTTTCAGGTTTTCCTGACAAGTATTACCAAATTCCTGAAATAATGGTCCTATTTTTTCTCCTTTGTAAGAGATGTATTCCACCTCTCTGTAGCAGGGTAATAAAGATTGATACCTTAAGGAAGAGGAGAGATGAGAAATTTTATCTTGCTGTGACTTCTGTGCTGTTTGATTTGTTTGATTCATAAAAAAAAAAAAACATTTTTCTTTCACTTCTGAACAAATGTGGATGGGTGCAAAATCTCTGTGTTGAGAAAAGAATGTTGGAAATCACTTAATATATGATCTCATAGAATATTCTCCAACTGAAGTAGCTTATCTAAGAGTGAATGCTATTGAAGCAAACACGCAGGCAAGTTCAATTTATATGAGTTAAATATTTATGTGGCTGTTGGATGTTCGATATTTTATTGACAAATAAAGCAGGAATATTTATAACCTATTAGAATACTTTCTGATATTCACAATTAAGAAGTCTAATAAGTACGAATAGTTGATTTTAGAGACGACAAACTATGTTACCTAATAAATGAAACATGATTGAAGACCAATTTGCCTACTCAAAATATTTCAGTCATAAAGTCTACAATTTCAAAAGTAATGTAGCAATGATCTCCTCTCCTGGATCAGAACAGAATCCCATTTACCACATCCCAATTAGGTATTCCCAGTGCCTTCATGATGGAAATGTTATTACCTACAAAATGATCTTCTTTTAAAGTTTTACATGAATCTTCTCTTAAAACATCTGTCTAGTAATCTCATTTCTGAAGAATAAGTCCATGCTGACTTCCATGGGTAGCATAATAGTTTTGAAGAAGGATCTCATAAGGGATGAGTTGGCTTTAAGCCATTTTTCTCTACTCATACATTTATCTGTTTACAGTTAGCCAAGATGAACTTTATGGAAAAGTCCAGAAATATTCTTACAATGCTTGTCCTGAAGAAGAATATATGTCTCTTGATAGATGTAGCACTTCATAGATCCAGAGGCATTCATTCTCTGTCCACATTATCTATCATTTTGATAGCTTCTCTGCCATATTTCAATTTGCAAAGGTCATTTGCTATTGCATCCTTCAAATATATGATCTTCCTGTGAAATCTACATGGCATAGACACTTTCCAAATTTCTTGATTTTCTTTATCTTCTAAAAAATCCCTATGAGAGGAAACTAAAGGAACAAAGACCTGTTTTTTATTTACAAAGCTTATCATTTTGCTCTCAATAACAAAATAATGTAGTCTCAATAAAATAATAACAACCAAAAATGCACTTAAACTTCATGGAGATGAAGAGTTTTTCACAATAAAGTTTATTAATGACTTCAATCAAAATGTAAGTTGATTTTAGAGCAAGGATTCCTTTACCTAAATAATTTTATAATACAGTCTTCAAAATTACTTTTGCTCATATGTTGCCATTCATTCTTAAGTCAAAAATTAATGTACATAAGAATGTACATTCCTCTCTGGTACTCGTTCAATATTATACCTTGAAGGATAGGATAAATAAAACACCGATATTATAGGTACAATTGTGGTGTAACTGCATTCACCTACCCAAGCTAGATGAATGAGAAATGACGTTTACACTTCATGAACAATTGCTTTGAATAACTAATGAAATTCTTTAATTTAAAAGTTTGTATGCATAAAAGCCCTTTGAAGGTTAATGCATTTTATTTTGACTGCGGCCTAATGAAGCACCCTTATTAAAATGAGCCCAAGCCGCTACACCCTTCCTCAGGATATATAAGGTCCAGTGTGGACCACGCTCACAAACTGCTCTCTGCATCTCAGCTGAACCCAGATCTTCGGACAACATGTCTTACAACTACGGCTCTGGAAACTTCTCCTCCCGTTCTTTTGGAGGTTACCTGGGCTACCCAGGTTCCACCTGTGAGTCTTTCTGCCCCAACAACGTGGCCTACTCTCCCAACAACTGCCAGCCGGGGTCTTCGTTCTATGGTGGCTGTCAGGAGAACTTCCTTGAAGCTTCCGGCTGCCAGAATCCCTGTGCTGGTACCAGAACCTTCCCAGCATCCTGCTTGCGCCCCAAGAACAATATGTTCTACAACCAGATGAATCAGGCTGTATCTCAAGGGTGTGGAAATGCTGGCTTCGGGCCCTTTGGGTATGGATGTGGAGCAGGCTTTCAACCTCAGGGCTCTGGGGCCGGCTTCTGCCGCCCAAATTACCTTTCAAACAGGAGCTGCCAGTCAACTTGTTATCAACCAGGCGTTGGCTCACGCTTTTATGGCTCAACTTACTGAAGAACGACAACGACCTCAAGGCTATACCTGCATTTTGTGAACTTTAGCGCACAGCCTGTCGCCCACCTGGGATCACTGCTTGCTGCATCCTGCACACTGGCCATCACTGTCCTCCTCGAGTGTATGAATCTCTGTGGACAAAGCATTTTTGGCCTGTGAGCTTTTCTACATCTGATATGTGAGATATAAGTTAATTTCATCCTTATGCCAATGCTCATGATCGCTTCTGTGTATATCTTCTTGAGATTCTTTTCTTATTGTCCTCCTAGAAGTCTTTCTTTCAATGTATTAACAATAGAAATGGCATTTAAAATAAACATTTCTCTAGCAAGAATGATGGCATTATTTTCATTATTTATTTATGGTGGGTCTAATGAATACCTCCAGTACCTTCAACTGTCTTAGAAAGTAGATCTGTTCTTTGTTTTATTTATTTCATATGTTTCATTAATAATATATTAGATAGGACAGGACATTTAGATCATTGGAATTACGGTATATGACATGCCTTGAGAGATTTTTATTCATCCCCAAAAAGCTGCACTTGTTCACCTAATTGCTTCAGAATGTTTTTATTGTATTCAGATATACAATGAAAAATATGTTTTGAGTTTTAATTATATGCCAACATATGCTGAACAGAGACATAGATTCCCTGCCCTCAAAGAGTTCATACATGTGCAATTCTAACTCACCATCATGTATCAAGTGTGATGAGGGCCAAAAGCCAAGCTTCAATGGGGAGATAGTGAAAAGGGTTTTCAAGAGAAATATGAGAAAATTACATCAAATCCATTACTGAAACTAGAAGATAAAATGTCTTCTTCTAAAAAAAAATCAATCTTGCTATCTAATGTATTAGTTACAATTTGCTATCTAATGTATTAGTTACAATCCTTTGGAAAAGTGTCATCAAATAAGATTTGAAATAAAACAGATTTGGAAGGAAAAATGCCTGTCAAGGAAGATGAAGAAGTGGCTGGAAAATTCTGGAGGAGCCACCACACCACAAAGTTCTGAATTCAGTAAAAGAAGAGAACAGGGAAGAACATTGAGTTAGAAAACATTGCTTCAGGAAGTCACCCATTAAAACAGTACTGAGCAAGGCTCCTGGCAAGGTCAGTCACTGACCAAGGACATACCAATGACCTCGCCATAATGCTGTGGGCATCACAGGCGAAGGACTGGAGCTGTCAGCCAGTGGCACTCCCTGCTTTTGGAGGTTAGGAAACTACACTTGTGTGGTTTCCACACTCACGTATTTATTGGTTTTAAATAAGTCAAAGTTAAATAGATAAAATGATAAAAAGAAAATAGAATTTTTCATGGATTTTTAATTATACTTGATCTTTCTTAATTTGATGAAAAAATATTATTAGACCCTATATAAATGTTTTTTTTAAAGATTTATTTATTAATTCATATAGAACTGGGGTACAGGCCAGAAATGCTGAGGGTGAGAGGATTCACCAAAGACAGAGCGGGGAGCAGAACAGGCAGATCGACGAAGTACACTGCTGAGGGGAGCAGCGGGCAGGCCAGGAGAGGTCTGCCATGCCATGTGGTCACCTCCGGGGCAGGCGGGAATTGAACTCATGCGGAAGTGGCTTAAGCTTCTTAGTGCTGTGCTTTAACCCGCTGCACCACCAGGGAGGGCCTCACCCAGCTCTTTTTCTGGATCCATTTGCCATCGAGTTGGTCTCTTGACCCAGAGGAGACACACACCTTTGTACCAACCCTGGAAGCAGAGTTTGGTGCCACAGCAGAAGTTTCATCCTGCTCATGCTAATGATACTTTCTAGTATTTTAAGAGAAAAAAGAAATAATGCTAATCTAAGAAGCTTCCAACTTCCAAGAAATAGTGTCGCATTTGTCAGCCCTGTCCCCATGGCAGCAGTAAGGCACACAATTCCACAGATATTCCTATTGTTTATTTACATGGCACACTCGGTGAACGAGTCCTTACTGCTACTTGTCATTATTACACTAATATATTTTTTTTCTTTCTGCATTATTTTGCAAGGGGAAACTTTTTTAAATAGCTGAATGTTATCCTATTGTGTATGTGCATTACATCTTGCTTACCCAGATGTACAATACATCTGTTGTGGGTAGTCTTAGATTGTTTTTGTTTTATTTTAAAGATTTATTTATTTGTGCATACAGAACTGGGGTGCAGGCCAGAGGCTCAGAGGCGGTGAGAGGCTTCACCGGAGACAGAGTGGGGAGCAGAACAGGCAGATCGACGAAGTACACTGCTGAGGGGAGCAGCGGGTGGGTCAGGAGAGGTCTGCCGCGCCATGTGGTCACCTCCGGGGCAGGCGGGGATTGAACTCATGCTGAAGTGGCTTTAGCTTCTCAGTGCTGTGCTTAAACCCACTGCGCCACCAGGGAGGGCCGTCTTAGATTGTTTTATATCATGGCTATTATAAATAGTGTTGTAATGAATGTAGGGGTACATATATCTTTTCTACTTAATGTTTTTATATATTTTCAGCTAAACATCCAGGAAGTATAAGCTGAATTAAATATTATTTCTATTTTAAATATTTTACTCTTTTTAAAATTTTATTTAATTTATACATACAAGAACTGGGTACAGGCCAGCGGTGTGGGGAAAGAATTCACTAGAGACAGAGTGGGGAACAGAACAGGCAGATGTACTGAAATACACTGCTGAGGGGAACAGTAGGCAGGACAGGCGAGGTCTGCTGCCCATGTGGGTCAACTCCCTGGGCGGGGATCGAACTCATGTGTAGTGACTGCCGACAGCTTCATAATGCTGCGCTTTAGCCTTTTGTACCACCAGAGAGGCTCCTAATCTACTCTACTCTAATTTCTCCTTTGTTGAGAAGCCTCCATGCTGTAGAGCGGCACCACTTATATTCCCACCAGCAGAGCCTGAGTTTCCTTTTTCTCCATATCCTCACGAATCCTATTATTTCTAGTCCTTCTGATAAATCAAAACTAGAACACTAATTTTAGAACACATACAAAAATGAAATCGAAATAGATTAAAAGCTTAAATATAATACATGAATACAGAAAATGCATAGATGAACACAAAGGTAAAAAGCTGTTTGACATCGACCTTAAAGTCTTCTTTGTTTCCAGTGTCAAAGGCAATAGAAACAAAAATAAACAAGTGAGATTACACCAAATCTAAAAGAATCTGCACAGCAAAAGAAACCATCAACAAAATGGAAAGGCAACATGCTGAACCCGAAAAGATATTTGCAAATCATATATCCAACAAGAGATTGATACTCAAATATATGAACAACCAATAGAAGTCAACAACAGACACAAAACTATCAAATCAAAAAACACTCTGAGACTCTAAATAAATATGTCACCAAAGAAGACTCCCACATGGCCAACAGACACTTGAGAAGCTCTCTTTTGTCACTTATTAAGGGAATTCAAATGGAAACCACAATGAGATATCAGCTCAAGAAGAATGGTTACTACCAAGAAACAATATAAGGAACACATTGTTATTATAGAGCTCATATTAGTGATCCTTAATATATATTTTTGCATATGTAACAGAATAAGTGTAAATGAATGGTTACATTCATTATTATATTAAATAGAAGTATAAAATAAATAATGAACAGCTACGCATGCCTAAGTATCTCTGAAGCTTGAGGGAAGCAATGGACAAAGTAAATAAACCCTAATTCTCCTTAATAGAATTTGTATAAAATTGGTATTTTTCATATATTTTAAGGGAACACTGTGAATATGCTATCATTTGGCATTTCACAACTGTGGTAATCTGAACTTCAGCAATTTAGAATGTTTCATTTCAGACTCATTACTCCATTTGAGTGCGCAGCAAAAACATTCTGAGCATGACATATGAGAGAGCAAAATTAAAATATTCCATAGTCTTCATTTTCTTGCTGGTTCTTTTTGTCTTCTCTCTCTAAGTATGAAAAATCTAATTACTTCTGCCAATATCATAATAGTTAGACATCTCTAATCTAGCATTTATGAGAACGTAGTAATCTAAATGGCTTTGTGAGAGAAGAGAGTGAGTGTCTTACACAAGGACACCTCCTCTGTGTGCATACTCTCATCTATGTGCAGAAGTGTCAAAAGGGGGGGCCCTCGCTGGTGGCCCAAAGGCTTAAAGCATAGCACTGCAAAGCTCTGCAAAGCTGCTGTAGCACAAGTTTGATCCCCAGCCAGGGAGGTCATCTACATGGCACTGCAGACCTCTCCTGACCCGCCACTGCTCCCCTCAGCAGTGTATTTCAGTAGATCCAACTGTTTTGCTCCCCACTCTGTCTCTGGTGAAACCTCTCACTCCCCAACCCCTGCACCTCTGGCCTGTACCAGTTCTTGTATGTATTAATAAATAGAGAGAGAGAGAGAGACAGAGGAGAGAGATCTTTAAGAAGAAAAAAAGAGACGTGTCAAAGGGAGGTGGGCCCTCCTTCCACTGTGCACAATTCCAGTTCACCATGCTGCAGATCCCAGCACCGTCCTCCAGGTGGGATTCACTTCCTCAACTACATATCCTCGGGTACCCCAACCCATCTGCTGCTGCATCCATTTAGAATATTTTTCAGCAATTATTCTGCTCTCTACTGCTTTGTACAAAAGACATTTACATCAGTGTGATTTGTTCCTGGCGCAGCTTCCTAAGAACAGGATGCTATATTACCCAGGATATATAAGAAAACAATGTTCAATCTTCCCATGGGTTTCAAATGCTTAGAAAATGTTAATAAGGGAAACAATATTTTAATTTTTAAAAGATTTATTTATGTTTGCATACAAGAACTAGGGTACAAGCCAGAGGTATGGGGGTGAGAGGATTTACCAGAGACAGAGTGGGGAGCAGAACAGGCAGATTGACTGAAATACACTGCTGAGGGGAGCAGTAGTCAGGTCAGGAGAGGTCTGCTGCGCCATGTGGGTCATCTTCCTGGCCAGAGATTGAACTTGTGCTGCAGTGACTTTGGATGGCTTCATAGTGCTGTGCTTAA